GGCTGGCCCAAGTGATGGTGGTTGCGCTCCTGAGTTAATGGTCGGTTGACTTGGGAGTATCTGGTGGTCGGCTGGGCACCATCATTGCGTTCTTATGGGTATACCGTAAATAAAAGGGTGCTCTTAATTGGTGGTCGGCTGATTAAGCGTATTCGGTGGTCGGCTGGCCCAAGTGATGGTGGTTGCGCTCCTGAGTTAATGGTCGGTTGACTTGGGAGTATCTGGTGGTCGGCTGGGCGCCATCATTGCGTTCTTATGGGGCTTCTCTATGATTGATATTCACAAAATTATTTTTATTATCCACGGTCGGGTGCCGTGTGCATCCGTACCGTGGTATTCTCGCGGTCGAAGACCATAGATAAGGCTGCGGCGCGGCGGAACGTACGGCTTGTACCACGGCCTTGCCTCTGTTCAAACATAATTGACACAACAAACAAGCTTTTAATGAATAGATTGAAAATCAAACGCGACTACACATGGGATCCTGTCACTAATGAGGCTACAAAATATATTGACGAATTAATCGATAATGTATGTTTTTTTTAAGGATTGACACTAGTAGTTTCTTTTTTCTTTATAACCATTATTAATTTTGCTAACATTTATTTCCTATCTTTGATTTCAGTCTGACACTCGCGATAAATTCCGTTGCAAGCTTCAACTTTCATTTGTTCCACCAAATAAAATATACTCATTTAGCAAACACTGAAATAAAAAATTTAATATTACTTCAATTAAAAGATAAGATTTTTTGCAAGTGGCAAGTTTCAAAATTTTAAAGTTCTAGGCACATCTTATAATCAATAGCTATATGTCAAGTCGGATGTAAAGAGATTGTTAAAGATGAAAATTCAACTGATAGTATCATTCATATAAAGACTTGTTTTGTTAAAAACCTAAATTGTTAATTAATGTATTAGAAGTATATACACTAGTCAAAATAGTGTCATTTGGCATGTTGTCATTTATCAAATGTTCAGATATAAAACATTTGGCATATTGACACTTGTCAACAATTTGGCATATGCCAAATAATAAAAACATTAATTATTTTTATTGAATTTGCTAATATCCATCAAAAAAAATTAGATATAAATTTGTATTATGCTAAATTTAACTATATTTTAAATATTATACTTGTGGATTAGTGAAATTACAGTTATATATTTATAAAAATTATGTCAATTTGAAATTTTATATCTAAATAAAATAAATCAACCAAAAATATTGTAAATAAGAATTATACAATTATGTTTAATTGAATAAAATTCAGTACTTCATAATTCAACATTCATTTCATTTTCTAAATCAAATAAATCTTACATCTGTTAAATTAACTAATTTAAACCATCAAATAAAAGTCAATTTGTGGAATATGACATTATTCAAAAAATTAATTAAATGTATATAAAAAAATTGATTTGTTTTGAATATAAATTGATACTTTCATCATACTTTACAAATTAAACTAAAACAAATGAACCTTTTACATTTTATAAAAATATAAGAAAATCAAAAATTTTACTTTTTATTTAATATCTTTCATATTGATTTGTTCTATTTTAAATACTATCAAATAATTAATATAATTTGTGAATAGTTTTTAAAAATTAATTATTTTAAATAAAGTCTTATAATATTTGATTAATAGATTCAATATTTTAACAAGTAATATTAATTCAAATTTTTGAATATAATAATTTACTTAAAAATTTTTTTGATTTATTGATAACTGTTTTTTAAATATTATATATTGTATATTGTTTAAAAATTAATAAAATTTATCAGCTAAAAATTGATCTAGTTTAAAAATTAAATCAATATTTAATTCATTATTTAAAAATTCAAATTCTATTTTATTAGAATAAATTAATAACAAATATAAAATTTTATAATTATTTATTAATCTTTATATTAGTTCTGATTCAATTATTTGATAAAAACCTATATTAAAATTTATTAAAAAATATTATAAGCAATAAAACTAATATATAATAAAAACTTATTTAGTATATTATTTATTCTTTCAAATAAAAAGCATAAAAAAATATATAATACAATATAAGTCAAAAATAATTGGAAAAAATAAAACTTATATTTTATTTATAATTTAATAAATAATTAAATAGGTATATTTGAAGATATAAAAAATAGAATTATATAAAAAAAATTATTTAATATATTAAAATAATATAATTAAATTACAATTAAAAAAGAGATAGTAATTTAAAATTTTTAATTTTTTATCAATTACAAAAAAATATTAATAACAATTATTAAAATTATTTTAATATATAAATTAATTAAATATGAATTAATAAACTTTAAAATAGTTTTATTATAATTTTTATATTAATAAAAATTTTTTTAAAATTTTTTTTTAGTTTATTATTAAGCTATCTACTTTTTATATTAATTTAATAAATAATAATTTAATAATAAATATATTTTATTAAAAAGATAATTAATTATTATATAATTTTTTTAATAGTTAATTAATGTTTTATAAATTTTTTTATAATTAAAATTTAATTTTTTTAAATAATTATTATTTTTTTAATATTTAAAAAAAATTTTTTTATATTTTTAATAAATATATTTTTTGATTTTAATTAATATTTTCTATAAAATTATTATATAATTATTAATGATCTATGGATCCATAGTACAATAGTTAATGCTCCATAGGTCAGATTACAAGATATATGTTCAATTTCTCCAGGAGATTAATATGATTTTTTTGAATATAAAATCAAAGCAGATAGAATCTATATCCATTAATATAACCATAAATTAATCGATATTTTCAAAATATGAAACTAGTTATACAAAAGATTGTAATCAGATTATTGTCTGAAATCAAGTAGGATTATCCTTGATACAACCACATTACTAATTGATAATAAGAAGAATAGATTCCAAACTGGTAGCATATTATTGGTGAAGAAGTTTATGCAATCCAATAAGGGCAAATCAGAACTGCTGATAAGTTTCATATTTAATCAAGTATATGACTGTATCTTCTTTCATAGACTTTATTATTGGAAGGCCTTGGTGAAAGGAGAAATCTGTGGACCACTCGAAGGACCAAAATCCAGGATCCAGGATACTGTAATCAATGGTTTGATAACCAAACTATTCTTAATATAAATAAAATTGTTCTGGGAAAAATATAAATGAATTTGTGTATTTTTTTAGTTTAGGAAGGAGGTATGCAGGGAGGAGTTATAAGAAATTATATCTCCTGGTATTTTTCTTAAATAAAGTAGTGATTATATATAGCATTATATAGAATAGATATATAACTACTTATATATAGATAGATCTACTATAAATATATATATATATTACTTATTAATATATGTATAATCATTAAACTTTGTGGGTGGCTTATAATAGTACAAAGTAAGGAACTGCACGATACTCTGAAAATAAGCAGCTATAAATAGTATATAATTAATAAAAGATATGGGAAATCTTAAAAATACAAAAAAAAACCATAGAAAACTGGTTAGACTAGGAGAAAAATATTATTCTTTTTAAATATTTGGGATATCTGGGTGTTCTAATCATCCTTATAAGGTATATCAGCTCTTCGCCCCAATGGATTAACAGATTTAGATAGTTTAAACTGGTAATAGGATTTCCATCCCTTGGATTAATCCCATCTGACATGTGGGCCCACCTACTTGGTGTAAAGTTCATATAGTTGGATCATAAAGATGGATAGGTAAGCTATTACTAGAAATAATCAATAGGTAGTATTAATTCTATATATATAGAAGACATTATAATGTAAATTCCAAATGAGTATGCTATATATATAGAAGACACTTAATGTTGGTCTAGATATTATGTATCAATAAAGATTTGTATCAATATATGTTTACCTTTAAAAAAAAAAAAAATATATATATTATTTATTTTATTTTTTATTTTTAAACACCAGCTGGGCCTTGCTTTATTAACTTTTAAATACTTTATACATATCACGTTTTTGTGTATTGTATATAGTTTACTATATGTAAATAAAGCTATATCTAAGAAACTTACATATCAGCTTGTTGTTGTCAGCTTGTCCAAGAACAGAGGCTTGAGCTAATGTGCCAAGGCTCCATTAGCTTATATATAATAGTTTTTGATTAAATGATTAAAGTTTGTGTTGTGTTCCTGTTTGTTATTTTGTATTCTGTTGTTAATTAAATACTTACATATGTATTTGGTTAGCTGTGCCACATCTTTTATTGAAATATATGCTTTCAGTATAATTATAGTAATATTAAACTTTAATCATAAAGATACTACTTTAACTATATTAAAATTTTTTAAGGCAGTGCCACATATACTCAACAAGTATTATACATATATATTTATAGTTAACTTATCTATATATGACTAACTATATATCATTTAACTTAATGCTATATATAACTACTACCTAAACCTAAATAGCTAAACAGGAAAGACCATTCTGTTTTCAGAAAGATGCGCAAATCTGTTTTAATTTTTTCCAGAACAATTTTATTAAGAGTATTTTGGTTATCAGGCCATTGATTACAGTATCCTGAACCCTGGTTTTCGGTCCTTTGGAGTGATTCACGGTTTTCACCTCCCACCAAGGCCTCCCGATAGTAAAGTCTGCGAAACACCACATAGCCAAATGCTTGATTGGTATCCTTCAACGCACCCGTTAGAAATCCCTCAGAGGCACTTTACCAGTTTGGGATCTACTCTTCTTATTGCTTTTTATGGCAACGTGATTGTGTCAGGGATAATCCTAGTCGATTTCGGACGTTTGATCGTATCACAATCCTCTTATAGACCAGTTTTCTATAATTGGAAGCATCAGTTATTATATGGTTAGGCCGATGGCATACAAGTTTCCACGTGGTTTTTCGGGAAATTACATTAGCCCCCTAGTAGAATTGAACCTGTAGCTTGTGATACAGACCTATGGCACTCTAACCACTGAGCTATGGACCCATAGGTCAAAAAAAAATATATTATTCTTTTTAATTTCTTTTATTTATACAATAATAATACTAATGGAGCCTTGGCATGTTAGTCTTGACAAGTACCTTAGGGGCAATGTCAATAGCAATAAGCTGATATGAAAGAGATTCGATATAGTCTAATATACATCTAGAGTAATTTATATATAGTAATTCTTACAATAGAAATATAAATGTAAATTAAATAAAGTATGTTAAGTAAGGCCTAGCTAGTTAATTAAATATATATACAGTTGCCTCTCACTATAATCACATTCTTTTTTGTCACAATTGTATTATAATCACTAAAATTTATTGCTTTAAAT